TTCTGGATTTACATGAATATGACTCTGTACAGACTCCTTCCATGTTTATCTAACTGCATAATGCGTTTCACCTTATCCTTTTTTGGAACAAATGAAACATACAAAGTAAGACATCTTACTTATAAAAGAAGGCTCAAGATAAACACTTCCATTTCCTGAAGTGATGAACGAAGTCATTCTAAGCCTTATACAAAAATGCTACAGATCTTAGTTACACTTTGAAGCACCTTGTGCACAAACACACCACATTTTTAAATAAGATGTACGAAATACTGAAAAAAAAAAAAAACAAACAAAAATCAAACCCAAACCAAAGCCAGGGACAAGTTAATAAATCATGGAAATAAAATTATTTTAATGTAAAGACAGAAAACAGTTTGAAGTCACATGAAGGCAATCCTACCTGTCAAGAGTTGCGAGGAGCTAGGCAAATGGACAAGGAATGATACAATTTTGCTAAAGGTCAAAGGAAAAAAAACAACGATAAAGAAGAAATATTATCATTTTATTAGTGTTCATTCTTTCTACTGGTAGGAAACCAAGCAGCAGCAGCAGCATTCCATACCTGTTGAAGTACAGCTTGGCTGGAGCACATGGCAAATAGGTGGCATAGCCAAGTCAAGAGAAATAATGCAAAGTCATGAGTGGAAGGTGTCGAGTTAACAGGATACTAAAGGAGGCAAAGGTGCAAGACCTTTCATGGGTACAAACCCATGAAAACATAAGAAAGGAAAAGGCCCAGAGTTCAAGACCATTGCACAGATGTGAATAATGAGAGCAAACAAGACACATGACTCAAGGAAGGCAACTTGCAGTGGGGATGAAAACAGGTCTTCTTACCCACACATTTTTCTCGTGAATGTTTTAAAAATGGTTCACCCATTTGCATGTCACTAAGATATTGGTTAGTGAAGAATTGTTCAAGGATCCAACTACTTATGTAGCTGACAGTTATTTCTGATTTTCTTCAAAGAGCTCCTTTATTTTCCTACACCACAGCTATTGCAAAGAACATCTACTGTCAAGCAACATTGTTGCCGTACCTGCAGCATACAGTTCATTCCTACCAAGTCTCATGAAGTAATCCAGAAGACAGTCAAACACCAGGATCGAAATAGGCCAAAAAAATGTAGCAGGTGAGCAGAAATAATGGTCTTCTACCCCAGATAAAACAGTAAGCATTGTGTATGCATACTGAGAAGCAATTTGGTTCTGTGTGTACCAACTTCATCCAGTAAAAGAAAGACTTACATTTTGTTTGACTTTAAATTCACTTGATCAGACATTGATCTTCTTGCTCTGTTTTCTACCTTACTATTAGGCAGCTCGACAATCAGTCCTTTTATTTCTTCCAATGGAAAAACAGAACCCTAATTTATTGGGTTAGGTTCACCAGAGGACACAGAACAGTTCTGTAGTCTAGAATGATCACACTGCTTTCATGCGTATAATCTAATTATAACATAAGAGTATTTGCCCTTTTAGTTCATCAGTAAAAATTATTACAGCTCTGTATATTTAAGACACATGAGGATATACAGGGTTTTTTTTAAAAACTGCAATTTATTCCTGTACTCTTTGACTAGTTCACTGGTTTCACAGGATATTTAATTTCTAATAAGCTACAATAGGTCAGAGTAAAATGAGAATTTTTATGACCAAAGCATTCAGAACGGAATACACAATTTAATTTTCATATTTCAAAAAGGCATTTTATTTGCTTTCAATTTCCTCCTCTCTAGTTGCAGCCTATTACACACACTTTGGCAGTGTGACCGTAAACCAAAAAAGCTAACAACAGAACCAACTTTTCCAAACAATTCTTTTACTTGCATTGTCCCCCTACCATAATCACATTTAAAGTAAAGTAGTTGGGATGAATAACGGAAACAATCTCATTCACGTGTTGTAAATTAAATGAGAGAAACAACTTGTGCAAGATTCAATCTCTTTATTCAAAATGTCCTCTTGGACCACATACAACCAAAGAAATAACACAGAACTGAAGGAATACAATTCTTTAATCTTTACACAGAAATGTATAGTCTGCCCTTGATTCTGATTATAAAGGTTCTCATAACACATGCATTGTTTGTTTAGTTATCCCTGTACAATATGTAAAATCCTAGCTCACCCCTGAGAAGGGAGAGTAGTTCTCCACTGCACAATGACAAGTTCAAAAAACATCAGAAGCAGTACTGCCATACTAATGGCCATGTGAATTATTCTGGTAATTTTTTTGATGAGATAAATTAAGCCAAGCAGACCCTTGGACTAACATACTGCATTTCAAGTACAGACTTCCTCACCCACCTGGAGGCCTTACTTAAGTTAAACAGATAGGAGAAGGAAAGCACCTTTGTGACCTGGCAGAATTCTGCTGTCATATACCCAAAGAGCTACCGAACAGCATCTATTTATTTATTTATTTGCTTATTTGAATGGGGCCATGCAGGAGAGAATCTAGGACTACATACATTGCTATTTGTGAAATTTGGAAAGGAGGGGACAACAAACTGTGAAAATATTAAGAAAATCTTTCCTGATCAATCCTCTGACCCTGGCTGACAAAAAATTCACAAATTTATATCCTGACCATACTCTCTGTAAAAACCCATGGCATGAACGTGCTGCCTTGTTCCCTGCAGGCAGGTGGATGGTGCCCCAGCAGTATCTCCACCCTTCCTCCAGAGGCCAGATTCTCATGTGCTTTGGAAACCCTGCATGCAAAAGGACAATACGCAGGAAATATGCAGCTCTGTATTGCTACCCTGCACCCTGCAGTACAGCTCTGCTTTCTGCCATGACAGCCATCTCCTATTAAAGACAAAATTAGTTTGGCTGGAAAAATTAGCACTTCCCAAGTCCTAGAAGGAAATCCAAGACACAAGGGCTCATAGTAATTGTGCTTCTCCTGCCTTCCCTCATCTCAGGCTATTTATCTGAGCTTCTTTCACATGCATACCTCTTTTGCCTTCTTCAACTTTTAGTAATAAGCAAGCCCCAAATCAGTAAACTAGAATATGATGGAGGAGAGATAATGAGCATCAGAATTTCCTTTTCCAAGGAGCCAAAATTCCTGATCTCACCCTTCCGGTGGCAAACGAGATTCTTGCTGGAGGATGTCCTGCCTCAAATCAGGTGGGGTTTTTTTGAGGTTTCATCTCTTGATTCCCTTCCAAATGGAATCAAATTTCAAGACAGGCTACACTAAACTCTGACAAACTTCCATGATTTAAGTTTAGCAATCCTTCTCCTCCCTACTTTCTCTTGGCTGGGTTTTTATTTATAGCCAAGAGGAAAAATCCTGCTCATCATCAGCAACATGGAAGCCAGGAGAGGATATATGCCTATCACAGGTATGTGTTATTCTGCAAACCTTTTTACAGAACACCAGTATCTGTTATCCCTAACAGCTTTCTCCCCTTCATCTTCAAAAAAAAAAGGCAGCAAACAACCACATACTGAACAAAGGAAGTACAACATGCACCTCAGAGAAAGCATGTCTTTCAACTTCACATGTCCCACTACTGTAAACTCTTTGAAAAACACCTGAAGAAACCTGTCTTCAGGGTAAGCAGCCTTCAGCAAAAGCAGATTCACTTTCACTTTTCCAAAATCCCCCATATGTTGTCCTCACATAGCAGGAAATGATCAGATAATAAAATTAATGCTACAGCATATAAAAGAGTGAACAAAAACACTACCACCACTTTCTACTAAGTAAAAGAACATTCCCACACAGGTGACAGCACAAAAAAAAACACCTGACTTTACATAATGACTTGGATATGCAAAGAATTTGAAAAGCATTGAACAATTTGGAGTAGCCATGATGTGCTCAACTCCAGCTCATAGAAGCCTTTATCCAAAACCAGTAAAAATCAATGGGAGATTTTCCACCGACTCTAACAGACTTTGGTTTGAGCCCTTTCAGATCTGAATTATTATACTCCACACAATTAGAAGCATATAAAAACCACAGCTAAATCCTCCCTTTTCCAACATGGAGCCATGAGACGTTTAAATTTCCTCAGGACCATCCAGCAGCAGTGTCCTCGGTTTCACAACTGGTACGTCAGGACTAGATTATTCCATCATTAGCAAGTAACAATGGAACATACCAGCTCATCCAAAGGTCACCAATTCAAATAAACTGGAAGAAGGCTGAGACTAATTTAAAGGTCCTGGGACTAATATGAAGGGTGATTTCATGCCAGTTAGTAGAAAAGAAAAAAAAGTCTTGTGAGGAAGGAAGTAGGCATATACAGTTTCACAAAACTTTTGTTTTTATTGTGCCCTAAACAGCTGTTCTATGAGAAAGTGAACAGCTATACTTTCAAGTGATTTAGTCCAGCTTCTTCTCTTTAAAAAAGGCTATACATTCATATAGCTATATTATTTACAGTTCAAAGTAAGGGAGAGAAGTCAAGCCTCTCACTGTAAGGCAATACAGCTAGCCAATGCAACTGAATTGATCATGGTAAGGTCTTCTGAAAATTACCTTCTTACTATTTCTTATAAAGAACAAATTTCTTATAAAGAGTAAACCCTTTGCTCTGTTGTTTTGCCTTTTCTTCTCAAATGTTTATTCAGAAGTTGGAGCTGGGAAAACAGGAATCAGAAAATCTAGTAAATTGTCTCAACATACGACTAGTACTGAACTGTAAAAGGAAAACAAACCATTTTTTATAAAAAAAATCTAGTCTATCAATTAAGCAAACATATATTTAGGACAGACTAAGTTTTGTAAATAAATGCCAAATATGTTACTGTAACTAGCAGATGGCTCAGTTGGAATGCATGAATTTTGTGTTAAGTTAAAATAATAAAGGGAACACGGCTTATACTGTAGAAAAAACATCCCGTCTGCCTTCCTGGTCAGAGCTGGTATTTATTACAGCATTTTTAACCTGTGTTTCGCCTTCCTCCGTTCAGATTCACAGGAGGGCAAACAAGGTTTCTGGGGGCCACGGGGCTATGGGGCTCCTGCCACTCACCAGAACAGGTGCGATCCTTCCTACCGGCAACTGGCTTCGTAGGGCTGACAATTTTCCCTTTTCCTTTTTACTCATACGCTGCCTGATCAATCCACCCACTACAGCTTCCAAGCCTTCTTCTTCTATATTTAGTTAACAATTAACACATTTGACTTTTTTAACTTCGCGGATTTCTGTTGCTGTTGTTGTCGTCGCCGCTTTAGAAAGTCAAACAGAACTTCAATGCATAAACTCTTTAACGGGGAAATACCACCTATGCTGCAAACATAAATAAATCAGGAAGCGCCGGCAGCCGCGCGCGCCGCCGCTCCCCCCGCCCGGCACCGCCGCCCCCCGCGGTGATGAATACCGGCGGTGCCGCGGCTCCGTCCCTGCCCTCCCCGCCGGGCCGCGCCGCCGCTCGCCCCCCGCCGCCCCCGGATGCTGCTGCGGGCGGGCGGCGCCCCGACGGCCCGGCGAATCTCCCTCCCCGACAGCGTTTGCGCGCCTCTGCTACCGCTCTCCCCGCCGGTGACAGCTAAATATAGTGAGCGGCCGGGGAGCGCGGCTCGGCTCCCCCGCGCCCGCCCCGCAGCGCCGGGCGGACGGCGGGCAGCGCGGCGCTCCGCGGGGGCGCGCCGGGACTCCCAGCCTGCGGAGCCGGCACCCCCTGCCCGCCCACGCCCGCGGCCAGGCGCGCTGCCCGCCGAGCGGGTGCGCGGGTGACTTACCGGCGGAGCGGAGTGGCCCGCCTGCCCCGCGCCCCTCGCCACCCGGCCGGGCGCGGTGCGGTGCCTCTCGCCGCGTCCCTCCCGCCAGCCGCCGTCTGGCTGCGGACGTGACCTGGATTCCCCCCGCCTGCGCCGCCGCCTCCCGCGGGGCCGCGCACACGCCGCGCCGCGCTGCGCCCCCCCGGCCCGGCCCGGCCCCGCCCGCGCCGCCGCCGCCGCCGCTCACCTCCGGCCGCGGCGACCCGCCTCGCCTCGCTGCCTGCGCGCCTCCCGCCGCCCCGAGCGACGCGCGGCGGAGCGGAGCCCAGCGCGGCGTTACGCAACGCGCCCCGCGGCCCCTCCGCACCGCGGAGAGGGTCGCCGGGAGGCGGGAGCGGGGCGGAGGGAAACCGCGGCGGAGCCGGAGCCGAAACCGCCCCCGGCGGCCACTTGTAGCGCCGCTGGAGCCGGGATGCCCCCGGCTCCGCTGCGGCCCCGCGGGCGGCGCCCGGCCGGGCGGGCAGGGCGGGCCCCGGGGCGCCGCCGAGTCACCGCTTCGCCCCGGGGGCTCGGGCAGAGAGGTGCGGGGACGGGCCGCGGGGGAGCCACTGCACGGGCACCGCGGCGCGTTTCTGCCGCGGATAGTAGATCCCGCGGCCGTGGGTCGCCCTGCCAGAGGAGCACGGGCACGGGAGAGGAGAATTCCCCGTGGTCCGAGGCTGAAGGCACTGTGCCACGGCTCAACCTCTGGAGTGGACACCCAGGGCAGCCGCGACTCTGCGCAAACACAGTCAAAGGGCTTTTTGATGGCTTCTGCATCCGGCTGGATTGTCCCGCTCTTGACTCGTATGTTTTTCCCATGGGCTTTGACAGGCGCACCCCGCCGCGAGGCCTCCGTCCCAGGGGTGCGGGCAGCCCCGGTGGGTGCTGGCGGCTGGCATCCTCCCATCCTCTCCCCCAGTGAGGGCTCTCCCCTTGGCCCCGCATCTCTGGGTTTAGGGAACCTAGGGGTCAGAGTGAGAGGGCAGCTGGGCAGCCCACCAGCCCTGCTGACAGCCGACCCGTGCAGACGTCAGCAGGAATGAGATGGGTTGTAACCAGAACACCGGCTCCGACAGGAAAATGAAGACTGACAGTCCTCTGGCCTACAAAATCAGGGCAACTTGGGTCTCAGAAACATGATCACCCCACATCATCCCAGCACAAGTTGAAGAGCTCCTTGCTCTTCACAAAGCAAACAGGTTTGGGAGGCTGTAGGTTCCCTGGCCTTCGGTCACGCTCAGAAGAATGTGCTCAGAAAAGGATGACAGTACATCCCCACCACCCATCTCTAATTCATGAGGCCGGGAAAGCAAGGAAGGAGAAGTACCCAGAGTCTCATTACCAGCTATCAGCTTGAGCGAGTAAGATGGCGTCTGAAATAACAGGCGTGAAAGCAATAGCTACTTGAAAGAATAAGATCGGTTTGTTTTTCCTTAAGGAATTACAGGAATATTAAACCCTTCTTGCAGTTATAAATCATTTAATGCAAATCATTTAATCCAAACAGAATTTTTACAGGCTCATGAGGCTCACTCATTTTGCCAAGAGTGAGTCATGTACAAATAAAATGAAACCAACAAAGAAAAGTGCTCTCATACCATGTGTATGTGGGTGATCCTTTGAAAAACTTGTAATTATTTTTTTAACTCTACCACAGCCAGGAAGACAGGTTTGTGAAGCAAGAGCAAACCTTGATAACTGCAGCCCATCGACGTGTACTTTTTCCTTCACTCAAAAAGTAACACAACAGGTCCCTTGTCAGGCCAATGACAGCAATGGCGTGACTAATGTATCAGCAGCCCCTCAAACGCCACGATTTCAAACCCAGTTGTGTGCTGACATACTAAGGAAGCAAAAGACTTTTCAAAAAAATGAAAATAATGTTCAGTGATTAATACTTAGTAAAAGAATGCAGTAGGCAGTTAATCCCTCACTTACGGGTTAGTTAAGGACGTGAGTTAAACTTCATTCTTCACTCCCCATGTCATAAATATGTGCTGCTAAACACAGAGCACAGCATGAGCCAGTGGGGTGGTGATGCACTGCTCTGAAATGACTAAAATGCAGGGACACAAAGCCATGTGATGGTGAGAATGGGAGCCTTAAAATGTGTCATCATCCCCATCGAATGACACTGACATGGAATGCCATTCACTGATGGCAATGGCAAATATTTGTGGATACTGAAGAGGTATGGCTTCCTCGTATATTCTGATGCCAACTCCCTGCATCATTTGGAATAGATATGTGAAAGTATCTTGAAGTGTTCCTCTAGCCACCTACTTTGCATTCTGACATGAGGACAGATGCTCCTGGGTCCTCACACAACTGCAGTCTCCCTTCCATCTGCTTAGCCAAAGAACAATACTTGAATATGGACTGTAACTGCCCAGACTGGGGCAATCTAGGACCCTAAGCCCTCTGTGACTTTCACTAGCGGTGCCCCCCCTCCCCCTCCCCCCCAGTGCCTGAAATACCATTCCCATCTGGCAGAAAGTTCTCTTTGAGTTTGAGGGAATCCCTGCTTGCCTCGATGCTATCAGAGATGTGCTGTGTCTAGCATTCATTCACATAAATGTTTTTCTTAGTGACCATGAGACAAGAGTTCAGTACTGCAGGACATGTCAAAGAGCCTCTGAAACCCTATGCTACCTGTGCTGCCTGACCTGGAGCAGGCACTAAAGAGGGAGGGAGGAGCAAAGGGAGGGAGCACATAGTTTGTACAGCCAGTAAAGTAATGACAACATTTTCCTTGTCCCTGAGAACAGTTCAGGTCATCTACAGGCATAATTTCCCACTGCATCAGTTACCCACAGGCCATGACTTTGTTCACAAATGCAGGAGTCAGAAACTTCCTTCAACTAAAAAGCAACCAGCACTGCCCTCATCAAATGCCTGATAGCTGGACCTGGAGCACATAGGATGTAATCAAGCTCTGAGATGAGCTGGAAGAGAATCTGTACAACTTCTGTGGCATAAAGCTTTTGTCAATGAAACAGCATTCTTTCTTTTGCTTTTTAACACAATGACTTAATTTGATACCTTGGTGGATTTCAGCTTTTTATCCTTTATTGCTCTCAGTTTACTTTTCCTCCTAAGTAATTTTTGCCTGGCTTTCATACCTCAGGGCTGGGCAGGCAGGGGAGAACTTTAGTTTATCTGGGCTTTCTAATGGTAATGATAGACATTGTGCATCTGCCATCAACTGCCAGATTTCCTTGTTACTGATTGGTTTTGGTTTTTTCCTATGCATCTTTGTTTGGCAAATCAGATACAAATGACTTTGTGTTTTTTTTAGAAGTACTACACACCTCATGGTTCCTTTTTGAGGAGGGGTGTTTCTAATTTGTTTATACACAAGCAGGCAGAAAGCACAGGCAATCAAACATGAGCTAAGATGAATCACTTGACCATTTAGCACACATTAACTGGTGGACAGAGGAGCCCCTAATCACTTTCTGAAGGAGGGTCTTACAAGACACACGGGTTTTCTTATTTTGTGTAATTTCCCAGCCCTCTTATTTCCTCAGTGCATGGGAAAACAGTGAATAAAGATGAAAACAGTTGTGATAAAATAGCACTTTAAAAGTTACTCTGGAATCTGCTGATTAAATGAGAACCTCACCTTTTGACAGACAAAGAGAATCCAAAACATTTTGTTTTAAAAGTGTTACAAGCAATGTGGAGATCAGGAAGCACACATGCCCCTTTTCATTTTTTAGACTATCAGAAATGAGTCAGCACAGCAGGAAAGCATCCTGTGTGGGTCCCTCTTTAAACCACGGATGACCAGTGCTTATACACGCAACAAAAATACTGGAAAGTACATGACTACAATGACTTTAGATTAATGTCCATTTATTATTAATCCTAGCTGAGGCCTATCTTCTCTAAATGCCATGAAACACTTCAAAGCCTATTGGTGTTAAATGAAGGTATTTGACCAACATCCTTTACTCTTTGTCTGGGGCAAACATCCATTTCCTGAAAAAAAAAAGGAAAATAAACCACTAGTACTATATACTACTTCTTTTCCTCTTCAATTTCCATTTTCCAATACAATGTAATATATGTCTGTTTCAAGATTTCTGGGGAACAAAAAAATAACCTAATTTAATAATACTTTGTTTTTGTACAGAGATCCAATTCCATCCTGCCATCGGAATTCGAGGGGAACCACAGGAGATGTGTGAGAACAGAAGAGAAATGAATGAAAATTGAGACAAATAAGAAAGAAAAATAAATAATAAGAAGAAAATCAAAAGAGAGAGAAACAAACCTAGAGGCACAATCTAACCTCCAATGCACCGTTCATATCCATTTTTGATCTTCCATGAAAAAACACAGCAGGGATTTTTTTCTCAAGTTATGCAGGGATTCACATGGCACAGGACATTAGTGCTCTGTCCACAAAACCAAATGAACAAGGGCAAAAAATTATGAACTTAAAGAAAAGCAGCAAGATTAAATTATTATAAAAAACTATTTTTAAGATCTGTGTTTCTAAATTGCAGCAACAAAGTATTG